CTTGTTTTACAACGTCGTTGCCAAGCGACGAAAACCCAACCCCGATGGCACACCGGGGGGGGCCCGGGAGGGGACAAGTAAAAAAAAAAGGACTGGACAATCAACGAACCAAAAAAACACCGACGACTTCGTGTGACCGGGAAAGATTCCTTTATTCCCCTCTCTGGGACCATTCCTGTTGTCCCCGGGGTCACAATAACCAATTTTCAAGGTTTGACGTATGTAACGTAATTCTTCCACTCTTGTGAGGCGAGCGCTGTGCGTGGCTGCTGCCCCGGTGGAGAAGCGTAAACCGCGCGCCCGTGTCTAATCATTTGCCGGTTCGGGCCTCGATGCCGACGAAAAAGCGAGAGAAAGGGGAAATGATTAGTCTAGGTAGATTCCCTGGCAGGATTCGCGCCACCCGCTAGGCGTTCCGTTCATCAGCAAACTTGGAAGGCGTCGGCGTCTCTCGATATGAGCAATTACCCAAGGCTCATTTCTTGTTGTGTCTGTGCGATACCATCGAGTGCAAAGATAATGGTAGGGTTTTAGGGTGGGTCTCTCAAACTGAACCACCGATATGTACTTATGGCGACTTTTTGAGGTGCTTAAATGAAACCTGAGCTTCTTAACTCCCAGGCTCTCAAGTAGTGGCGGGTTATGCGGGACGCCGTGCACGGCACCCCAAGAAGGATGCTGGAGGGGGTGTGCACATGTCATGCTCCGGCGCAGAGGAACGGCTCGATAGTAGCGCGTATTGCCACCGGTGTCACCTGCCCGCAGGGAGAGAAGCAAAGCGGGGCAAGGGAAAAACGACAAGCGGATCGCCATATTCAATTTTTTTCAGACTTGTTCCACATCTTGGGCGCACGGACAACCCATTCGATACCCCAGGCACCGTCTCGTACTTCAAAGCTTGACGGGTGCTGTGTAGTCTCGACATCGAAGGCTCTTCAAAACGAAAGGGTACATGCGAGCACAGCGCGTTCTCGTGACTTTGTTTTAAACTACACCTCGCCACCGTCATGTCCCCATCATGTCGCTCGTACCTGTAAGTTGTAGCCGCCCTCTAATCCGAACGCCACCTTGCGACCGAACACCTCTTTGAGACGAATCCCCATCCTTCCGGAAGTGGCACGTCGTCAAAAAATGTCGTTTCAGGCGGCATCGACAGCATATGCACCGACGGATACACAGTGCCAGCGTACGCTGTGCGCAACACATCGTGAACATGAATCGAATTATCGACTACAGGAAAGGGTAAGGGTAAGCGCCGATACCGCGGCGGATGTGTAAACGCAGGGGGCCGTCGAAAGGGCTCCGGGCTTGGCGATATGCGCAGAGCAAACGATCGCAAAGTGCCCCGACGTACGTGTAGATGCCTTGTGGGAGTGCAACGAGATTATGAAACAACGGCGATGGGCCGGCGACGGCAACTCTGCCACCACCACCACCACTACCACCGCTACCATCTTCACCACCACCATCACCACTATCAACAACAACAACAACAACAACAACGACAGTGACACGATAACAACAACAGCAACAACGACAGTAACACGATAACAACAACAGCAACAACAACGTCGTGGACTTACCGTTCGTAGTCCTTCGGCTGCAGACTTGCAGTGGCCAGCTCGTCCGCTTCGAGAGCGTCATACCCCGCGCTGACTAAAACCATGTCCGGCTCAAACTCCTGAGAGGCATCGACAACGGGACGGAAGGAACAAATGCGAGAAATGCCGCCTGAGTGACATGGATTGTCGGAGACCAGGCACGGAGGCGGGCAGCGGGGCTCCGAGTGGGAAATCATAAATGTCTTAATAGGGAGGAATCACATCGTGAAGAACTACATCACAAAGAAACGCCAAGAAGCTTTTCGAGATACCCTCGCGGCCTACCTCCATCGTGCCGGCGAATGTTGTCCGAAGCCTTGCGGCTTGGTTCTTGCGAACTATATGCGGCGCTACGCCTGTGACTGCTGTACATTGAATGCTTGTCACGGCCCTATGGGTCACTCGTCAAGGTGAAAGACCGCGCGACCCACGAGATCAACTCCGCGGCCCCAGCTGAAAAGTGAGCGTTTTCTTCCTGGCAGAAACATGGAACCCTCCCTCCCGCGAGAGACACACGTTTCTACATCAAAACACGAAAGAGTACAAAAGAGGACACACTCGTCGTCGTCGATTGATGACACATTGCGACTGTGGGAATGGTTCAAGCCCTCGCTCCAAACAATGCGTTGTGCATAGCCCCGGTGCATTTCCAGTGAGTTCGCACCGATGTTAAGGCTTCGCATTTGTCCAAAACCCCTGTCGCCAGCTGCGGCCACTTTCTGCCTCTACAGGCAAAACCCAGGCAAAAAATAAAAAAAACTAAGTTAAGCCGATTCTCTTCGTAATTTACTCACTTCCAGCCACTTCACTGCTTCCTCAAACCGTGGCTCATACGTCTCCCATGTCTCGTCCACCCCAAAGAACGGTAGATGCTTCAGATTTCCTGCGGAAGAAGGGGCGCGGGGGGGTGGTGGGACTTTGCATAGGCGTGGTGGCCACTATCAGGCCCTGAATGGAGAGCAGGAGAACGCCGCAGGGACTACGACAACAACAACAACAACAATGGCAAAAGCACCAGCACCAGCACCAGCACCAACATCAACAGCAACAAAAATAACAAAAAATAACACGGAACAACAGCCTAGAAATCGAGGACAAAACCGAAGACCCAAGCCCGCATCGCAGTCTCTTTCAACTCTCACCTAGCGGACCTATGTCCTCCGCTCCCCCCGACCCTGGAAAAATGCCTCCTTGGTGAATCGAACAATACCGTACCTGGTACAAGAAGCACACGAATACGTGGTGCCGAAGAGGTTGCGGTAGTGACAAGTGCAGACACCAAGCCAGGGGCCTTTGCGCACGAGGGGGCTTCATCGTGAGTATGATCTCACGAGTCGATGAAAGAGCAGGAGCGACGCGACGCACGCTTGCCACGTCAATTGTTGCATCAGTTGCTTGTCGGTACGATCAAAACTGTTCCGATCTCCGCCCAAGACCTTCTGATTTACGCGCGGCAGTGCAAAAGAGAGCCCTTCCTTGGCTTGGGCGTGAGCTTTGGCACCACTGGCTTTCCTCATTTCCGGCGGGGAGCTCTCGACACACCCACCCAGGCACCCTAAACAACCTGCTACGGGCCTACGGAACGGCAAACCACCCCAAATGGCGGCGTATAGTCTACCCTCTCGCGTTCAATACTCCCGTTACTCTCCGCTTTACGAGTCAACGTTTAGCTCTCGCGTGTATCAACAAGAGGTAGGTCTCGCACGAACAACGTGAGCAAAAATTTCCTAGACATCCTCGCCCTCTTTTCACTTTTTTTGTTTGTTTTTCGTTACGTTACGCCCATCACGCATCAGTCGGACTCTCTGCAACGCCGAAACGGTCCGATACACCAAGCGCACTCCGTAAGAACGAGGAATGAGAGCGAGTTTGAGCAGCAAGCCAACAATCCCCCCTCCCAGAAAAACAGCCTTGCATCGCGAATGGCAGCCTATTGGCACACACCCTTGCGTCCCCCTTCACAAGAGCCGCCACACCATTGCCATGATGAACGTCGAAGTCGAGAATCGCCACGCGGCTGCACCCGAGGGCGTCGAGGGCGTGGAAGGCCGCCACCGCCACGAAGCACACAAGGCAGAAACCTTTTTTTCGAAAACACCACGCCGCCACCGTTCGTTGCGGAAACATGTAGTGGGCATGCAGTGCTACAAATAGGACCGACCCCGCCAACAGGCTGCCAACGAAGACATGTAGTCGAGGTCTCCGGAAGGGGGCCAACAATCTAGGAGCGGGCGTCGCCCGCAAATGACGCTTAAAGCTTCCCAACAGACCCCGTCTTGCGACGTAAATACGCCACACCAATGCGCCTGCCCGAACCTAAGAAGTCACTGCGATGCAACTTGCGTGTGTTTGTGTGTTTCTGTAGAACAGGGATCAACAATCAGAGATACAACTGGTAGATAGGACGGGACGTTCATTTCTTCATTGGACATTTGCTATGTTGACGACTCGCTGCGCCTGTGCATCTGTCGGGCAAGGGCGTCTTGCTCAAGCTCATCCACGAGCCTCGTGGCTTCCGGGATATGTGAGCCTCCGCCGTATAACTGTCGTGTACATTGCACACCAGGCAAACACTCACCTTCCTTCTAGCACCACTTTCCAAGCATCCCCGCTCGTCGCGAAACACAGTTTCACCAGTATCAATAGTTGTGGTGAACTCCGAGTCCGCCACATGTTCGCGGGTCTGCACGTTGCAAGCCTATGAGACACACTCTGGATCTATAGGTATTCTTGAAATCGTTTTTCCCCCTAACCCGTCCCCCCTCTTGCTCGCTATCCCCCTCGAAAAACAAAAGCAGCAGCAACAACAACAACATCAACAACAACAACAACAACCACACAAGACGACCGACTTCAAAACCTTGATTGTGATATCAACAGCCATACCCCACCATGATGTAGAAGGTTCACTCTCACCCATGCCAACCCCGGCGGTGGCGTGGTGCCCCGGAGGCCGCGCAAGAGCGAAGGCCGGCGACCCCCCCGCTGCCGATTCGGCCGCGTCCATCCACGCCGACGCCGCCGCTATACACACCTGTGAAACGCCCGAAAAAGGAGTTAGCTTGTCGACTGCGGGCAGGGGCGGGGCGAGGAGACGAGAACGATGATGACGGGGAGGGTACGGGATGGTCATGTTTGGCATGCCGCAGAAGTTAGACCGTGGACCACGCGTCCTCGAAAGACGAAGGGAGGGCGGGGGGGAGCGCAGCAGACAAGACTGTTATCGAGAAGGCAACCCAGCCCAGGGCTTCGAACGGTTTGTAACGAGGCAATCGCGGAGCCTCTTGTGACTCCCAGCATAGGTAGGGGAAAGGGTGGCGCTTGCCAGGGAGGGCACCGTGGTGACCGACACGCGTGTGCCACAAGTCGAAACTTCTGGAACCAAAAGTAGGGGGTCAGGTTGACCCGGGAGCACCTAGGGTAACGCGATGTATTCTGATTATGTGGCCCTCATGCAATGGCGAGATTGACTCGCCCGATGAATCAACCCAGACAAGGAGAAACAATAATACACAAGACGCCAAAGACCTGGACTTCAGACCTAGACTTCAGGTCTTGACGACCATAGCCGCTGACTTTGGAAACAATCACAGGGTGTCCTGGCATTCCATCATGCCATCCCAACTTGGGGCAGTAGGACAATAGTGGCCATCGCCGGCATGAAATGGTCTCACTGGATTCCATCCACCCGAATCCATGCACCAACAGAACCCTAGCATTTGAAAAAACATCACCGTACATACGATCTCGGTTCAAGACATGTCACTGCAAGCTGGCAAACCCCCGCCGGGAAAAAGCCTTGGAGCACGTGCGAACGCATCTCGCTATGGGTGCCTCGCTAGTGCCTGCGAGTACGTGGCGAGCCTATTAATGGCTTGGTAGGTTTTCGGCGAGTATGGGACCGCGATGTCCTCGACAACAAACGACTGTTTCCAGTACCACTACCTTCGACGGGGGGTGGCACACTTGCTTAAGGATATGGGGGAGAGGGTTACACTCACCAGATGTTGCGGTTCTCACCTCGAAGGTATCGGGGCAAATGTAGCTGCTCGCCCATTCCCCGCCATGGGCGCGTTTCGCCGCGGGGTGCGGGAGAGAACACCGACGGCAACACAACACTTCGGTTAATAACGGGTCTTTCGCATTTGACGGGCTTGGGGTGGGAGAGAATGGGAACACGTCAGAGGGATGCCCTGTGTGACGAAGACAACGACGATGTCAACATCAACAACAAGAACAACAACAGAGAACAGCCAGCTGCACACACACAGGCGAATATGATGACAAGGGCTAGGAACGGCCAGTTACTTGGGGGGGATGCCATGGCCTTTGCCTGACATGGTCGAGCACTCGCAGGAGGGACTAACTCGTCCGACCTACACGCGATTCGCGATTCGACCGACCACGGCTAGGTGGTGACGGGTGGACACTCCTCACAAATTTCTAACTGGGAGTGGGCAATGCTGCAGCATGCACCAACGGAACTACCAACAGCTGAAGCAACGGCAGCGTCATGAAAGCAAGTATATCGACTCTGACGAGCTTGACTCGGTTTGGCGATACCGACCCGATACATGGGCTTCCAGGCTAAGGCATGTTCCGCAACGACGAAACCGGAGCGAAAATACGAAGGCCAAGAGGGACACAGAGAGAAAGCGAGCAGAAACACATACGAAGAAGGAGACAGAGACACATACTCAGAGAAGGCATTGCCACGATCCAGCCGGTTTCCGTTTTCGTATCTCGAGAGAGAGAGAGAGAGAGAGAGACGAACGGAAAGGCGAAACACATCTCACGTGTCGAAGTCCGCAGCCCCTCCCCCCTTGGCGCACACGCGCCGCACCTCTTCCAGATACTCCGGGTTGTGCACTCTCTCGATCGCGGCTAAAGCTCGCTCCCTGCCTTTCTCTGATCGGAGGGACGAGGGCGTCGCCCACTCGATCCCCTGACGCGAAAAGTAAACGACACGTACCGGTGTCACTCGGGGAACCATCCCTTTGTTGGACTTGGGGTATGTTTAGCGAAGATCAGATCGAAAGGATAGGGGGAAGTATGTATTGTCAGTGCCCGAGTCGTGCGAGAGCGATATTTCTGACGTGCTTGCGGAGACACTTGATTGCAGTGAACGTTTCACCAATGAACCTCATCATGCCGTCTTGACGAAAAAGTTACCAGGGTCTGAAAACTCGCCCCAAATAAGACCTATGCTTGTGATAGCTTGGTGTGTTTTCGGGCCGTTCTCTGTGTCGATGCTTCTCGAGAGGGCCACGCAACATTCTGCCCAGCCAGCAGTAGTACCCTACCCCTCCCCTCCGAAGCCGCCGGCACCGAGAGCTACTGAGCCCCTCCGCCATTCTGCCGCGTCGACTCCTGCGTACCACCACCGCGACGGCGACCACGACAGTTCCATACTACGGCGTCACTCCGCTGTGCGGTGATCAGCATAGGTATGCGGGTATATCGTATTTTGTGAGACGGGTCGGTCTCCGATTGTGTCAACAAAGAAGTCTTTGTGTTGAAAGCTTTAGAAGCGCCGCTGGTGCATGCCCTCGTAAGCCACACGCCTGGTTTCTTGGAGTTCAAAAGTCCAGTCGTAGTGAGAAAATAGCAGGAGAACCCTCTTCAATGATCCGTCGTATGCGCTACGGGCGAGTGTGCTTCAAGGCAGATGACTTTGGGCCCTGATCTCGATCGTTGTGTTTCTTTCGTTGCCTTGATTGGCTCCGAAATAATCATTCGTCTGTGCTAGCAGATAATCCCACTTTCCACCGTTACGTGGGAACGCTAGATCCAAACTCGCACGTCAGACATCCCTCGCCTTCTATGCCTTTGCTCATACCACCTACAGACAATTGGAGGTCAGTGTTGCGAAACACAACACCAGACGCAGTATCGAGAGGGCCCAAGATACTTACCTCCAACTGGTCAAGCTCAATCCTGGCGGTGGAGACTCTTGCGGGGCACTCCGGGTGGGGGTGGCCCGGCGGTGGTCGGTGCTTGAGGAAAACCTCGCCGTAGATGATCTTCAATTTTCCTTCGCCGCCTCGGTTTTGCACTTCATCCTGCTGAGAACCTGGGGTGAGAGGACCCGGGCGTTACAAACGGTAAAACACGTACAGAGCCAAAAAGCAGACTGGACCTTATCGGGGAAATTCAAGGTTTTTGCATTAGTCTAATTAATAACTACAGAACCTTTGTGAAATATTTTCCAACATTGGTTTTCGTGGACTCTCGTCAACCTCGCAAGCGCTGTCATGGGTGCTCGGTACTCTGTATGCCCGGCGGACGTATCTATATTTCCTGCATACAGGACAACACGTTCGACTTCAATCAATCCTAGCAATGCGCTCCAACCAAACCCCTACCTCTATTGTTGGGGTGGGGTTAGCTGTAGGGATTTAGGCCCTGGATCGCCGGCGGTCATGGGCAAGAGGATTAGTCAGAACCCTGCCTGATACTGTAGACTATAAGCCCACATCTTTCGAAAATAGGATTCAACACCTCCTGTACGCACAACGCATTGGGTAATGTGTTACTGAGCCACAAGGGCTCACGATGGCGATGAACAAGACGAAAAGCATGGGCGCGGCACCTTGGAGCCCAGCGTCGAACCGCTTACCCACAGCAGTCGGCCTTGGTAGACCGCGGGGCATGTTGGTGCTGAAGCAGTGGCCTCGCCTGCTGAATCTGATACCACCTCCGCATGAAAATACAGCGGAGTTTGGGAGGGGGACACTGCGGTGACATGCTCTCGCAGAGCAGCCGATAGCCAACAATCTCACGTGTGAGAGCTTCATCGCCGACTGCTGTGTGCCTACAAACAATTGTCGGGTGTATAATATGCTACACGTTTGCCATATATGCACAAATACGGAGATTGTAAAAACCACTAGACCAGGACGGCGTGTGACAAAAAATCGATCCGCCAAAGACTGGGACTTTCAACCAACCAAATCTTCCCACGCATGTAACCGTTGGTTTTTCGCCCCCCAAGAGGGTCTGCCGCGTGCGTGTTCGCCCGCAAAGTACGAGCTTCTGCCCGAGGGCGTGGGGAGGACCAGTACGACGTAGCCGGGGCCGGACCCGAGCTCACCGAACCTAACATGTTTGAGGCAGACGTAAAGGATCCAACACGGGCGGAGGACGAGGAGGAGGAGGAAGAGGAAGAGGAGGGAGGGGTACGGCATGGGACAATGAGGGAAGATGCTGGGAACCCGATGAAAGCGGAGGCGGAGAAGAACTCCGCCCAGTCTACCTGCTGCCCGTGGGGGTGGCATCGGAAGCACCGCAAGCCGCCCTCCAACCCTCCCGGTTGGTCAGAGGGGAAGAGCACGGCCTACGACGTCGCTCAACGCCCTAACAGAGTTGTCGTCATCAACGCAGAGCAGGTGAGAAGTTAACGGCCGGCGGACACCACAGGAGCCACGCGGATAGTTGGCACGTGTGCATCTCTATTTCAGACGTAGTGGACCTGTCAGTGTGACCCAGATGGAGAATGCAGCACGTCCAAGATTAGGGGTGGTGAAAGTTGTGCTTACGATTTTTGCGCAGAGCGCAGTGAGTGGCAGCTGCGGCGACGGCAGCAGTAGCTGTAGCAGCATGCGTACCGGCAGCGAGCCGTGATATTTGAAATTTCGACTCCAGTTGTTTGTAGTAGTTGCCGCGTGTAGTACTCCGTAGTTGTAACCTGTTTTGGTCATGTTTGGTGCCATTCTGCTGTAGTCTATGGAATCTCGGTAGGATAGCCGCGCAACTTCAAGTTTCTGTAGTAGACATGAGGTTGGATGGTGCTGAAACGATCTCCCAAATTCGCCCGTGGGGTGAACATGCCGTTTCGAAGGTCTTGCCGGGTGCTTGCAGAAAAGTGACCAGTCAATTCCACATTGCTACTCTGTCTGAATTACGCAATAAAGTTGTTCTTTTTGTTCCTCACTTCGTGGGCACAGTGTGGACAAAGATAGGAACAATCAGTCAATGACTTTCGTCCTTATTGCCACGCGAGACTGGACTCCACGTCGTGCTCCTCGTTGTTTATTGGCTTGCTTACCGGAAAGGTGACTCCAGAGGTATCGGAACTGTTCTGTGTACGAGAACAACCGCCAAAACAAAACCGCCACCAACCACACCAACGACAACAACACCATAACTGGGAATCGTTCAATGCACTCTTTTTCTTCCAAGCTTCAAGACGAAAACCCGTTTCCTGCTGGTATTCCTACACCAACACGCAAATGGCATTGATTGTCCCCTTTCGTATTCAAATTTCAGGAAACCGAATTTGCGTCTAACATGGTACGCACGGCCAAGTACGAGTACTACGACTTCCTTCCAAGGTTCCTCTGGGAGGAGTTCAACCCCGCCTCCAAGATAGCCAACGTCTACTTTCTTTTCATCGCCGCGCTGCAGGTATGGCGATGGTCCTTTCTTCCACGACCGCCGCATCAGCAGCTACGGATCAAGCTGTGTGTGCTTACCGTGATGCGAATATTCTATTCTACGGGCGAAGAGGCGAAAATACTCGCCCGTGGTCAAGGCGCTGACTCGACCGAATAAACAGACCTGTCCAGCTGGCCAACACACTCCAACCACTCGCCGAACGCAGAGATGTCGACTCTCATCTCCCTGTGTGTTCTTGCTCCCTCCCCCTCTTGTGTGTTGCACGTGTACTCCGTCTCGAAACCCACGGCACCCCGTCGGGCGACGGGCAACCTCGACCTACGGGATATTGGTTTTGGGCTTCGGGTCCGGTCATTGGGTTTGGAATTTGGGCCGGCTTCGTCCTTTCGATTCGGGGGGCAGGTAATACCGTCGATCACCAACACCTTCGGTATTCCTCTCATGTTGCTACCTCTCTTCTTCGTCGTCTGCGTGGACGCCATCTTCATGGTGAGCGGGATCCTCTCGGAGAATTATTCCCTTTCTAGGCCCGAACTGTAGGCACTGGCTTCTGTGCGTTGCTTTCCTTGGCGTCCATCCAACTATATCTGGGAAATACCTCCCTTCATCCAGATGGGAATGCCAAAACATTGGGTTTGAGCGAATTCTGGAATACGCGCGGAGGTTTGCTGGACGTCAGCGTCGACAAACCTCTATGACCCGACCCTTTCGGGGATGGGTTCACTTGCCAGGATTTGTGGCAAGTATTCATGACAATGAAGCTGCAACTTACACTGGCTCCGCGAAAGACGCAAGTCCTTGCGCGTTGCCTACCAATGTACACAACGTTGATCTGGCGAAAGTTTGAGTTCGCTCTAAGTGGCCATGCCTAGTGCAACCTGATGGCACGTACTTTTGCTTGCAGGAGTTTTGTGAAGCGTGTCTGACCTTCCTTAAATGGCGACTAGTGTCCACTGGCGTTGAGACTAGAAACAAGCGACGACTTGCAGAATGGTCTAGAGTCTGGGAACGTTGGGACGCCAACAATGTTCTACCCGACACCCAACTGCTCACCACACGGCCCGCCAATTGCCCCATCGCCGTTGGCAGATCTTCGAGGATATCGCTCGACATCGTGCAGACAGGCATGCGAACTCGTTACTCACTAGAGCGTGGGACCGAAGGTCCAGGGAGTTCAAGTACATCGCTTGGAAGGAGGTGATTCAAACAATACAGTACATGCACATTTTCTGACCTAACGGACATTGTTCGAAGACATAACCCCTTTCAGCGCGACCACGGGAGGGTCTGCCAGCTTGTACCTACCTTAGGCTTGATTCATACAGTATCTCTGCTTTCGGCGGTTGGTTGATACTTTCGAGGGGCTGCCTTGCTCCGTGACGCTTGGACGTTGTTTGCAACTACCGTTTGCCGGAGGTTGAGCGGTGGTCTTGCCATCTGTGTCTCCCCCGCCCCGCGTTAATCCTTTCGCTCTTTGCTCGGTTTAAATCATCGGTGTTCTACGACGTTGCGATCGGCTTACCCCTTCGAACCTGAAACAATCACCTTCATTTATCCTGGCGTGGTACACTTGCAAGGTCGGTCGGTCGGGAGCCAGCGTTTTGACCGAGTATTTACCAACCTTCGCTTGGTTTCGGTTTTCCTGTAACCGTGTTCCAGATTGAAGTGGGAGATCTGATCGTGATCAACAACCGGGAGCCCATCCCCTGCGATGTGCTCATCATGGGGGTGGACGAGCCAATCTCGCAGTCACCGGCTGGCGTGGCGTACGTCGAGACCAAGTCTCTGGATGGGGAGACTAACCTCAAGATTCGACAGGTGTTACATGGGAGGGTAACGAACGGCAATCGCTTTATTACTAATATTTGCTAGCCCCGATCGAACAGTGCACAACAGCATTTTCTTATCCCTCCAACGAATATGCAACTTTTCCAGAGGGGAAAGACATCGGGACACAAACAGGGGAACAGGGAACCAAGGCAAAAAAAATATGTTCCCCTGGCGCGAATCGGTGATACAAACATCGGAAGTGGAAATGACTGGAAAGTCAACGAGATTGCCTCATTGCGAATAGCAAGTACAGCCCAGACAAACGGCCTACGTAGACGTTGCATCCGTTTTCACGGAGCGCGTGCGAGTCTAGCACATCAAGCAGCAAGCACAGCGCACAACGCGCGGTCTCCACAATTTGTGCGTTCCGGTTTGCCTGTGATCTTCGCATCTCTTCGCTGAAAGGCGTCGTGTTTGTGGGGCAAGGTTGCACGTTATCGGAAACACAGACAGATGGGAACCTGGTGAGTTATGACATTTGAAGTGTGGTCAATTACTCTATCTGGCAAAGCCCAATCGACGAATGTCCGCCGACGTTTTCGTTGTTTCCGTTGAGACGGCTCCCGCTCACGTTGGTGATACCCCGACTAACATTCTCATTGATAGGTGGTGAAGGGTGTGGTAGGAAAGCTGCTAACCCCTGAGGACTGCGCCAAGCTGTCCGGCCGCGTGGTCATGGAACACCCGGACAAGCTCATCAACAATTTCAAGGGCAAGCTTATGCTCCAGTGGCGCAACAAGAAGCGCCGCGGCAAGACCAACAGCATCCCGTCATCCAACGCCGACCTAGGCAGGCCCGCTGGTTACAACACCGAGCAGCAGCAGACCGCCACCGATAACGGCGGTCGCGAAGGCGACAACGGAGGTCACGGGGAAGAAGCGGGAGCAGAGCAGGCAGTGCAGGTGGAAGACGGGGCGGACCAGGAGGGGGTGGAGGGGGTGGAGGGGGTGGAAGGGGCTTTCGCGTCCGAGCCGATCTCGGCGGACATGCTGCTGCTCAGGGGCTGCGTGCTGAGGAACACGCGATGGGTGCTGGGGCTCGTGCTGAACACGGGGCCGGACACCAAGATCATGATGAGCATGTCGAAGGTGGGTGGGCGGGAGAAGGTGTGGTCTCGGGGGCATTGTTATCACGTCGACGCGGCACATGACGCTCAAATACAGGCGGTTCACTTCGTATATGACTAGTCTTGTCAACTATAAACGCCCATGAAGAATGAATATCGAGCTGCAGCTTCCTGTGAACAGCTTCCTGGGGGAGAACCTCCGGATACCTTCGTTCAACTCGAAAGGGAAGCACATTCGCTCGCCTGGTGTGGCTCCGTACAATCGGGAACGTGGTGCAGTTATTCCCTTTCTCTTCCCCTCGGCCGCGGGAACAAAACCTGCTGGGAACGTAACCGAAGGGCCCGACTCCGACGTCAAAATGACGGTTTCATCGTCCATCGATCATATTGGCTTTTATTTGCTTTCTTTAAGACCTCCTCTGTCGTACGTCTCTTGCTAGGTAGCCGGAGAATCGATTTGCCTTGTCTCCCAACCCCGCCCCCGACCTCAGGGCATCAGCGAAGTTTAGCAAGAAAAGGCATAAAATAGGAATTTGCGTATGCAGCTGTACGATGAACGACCTATTGATAGGCTTGTCTCACAGGTCCTTTCTCGATGATAGAATACAGCCAGCGATCGTTGGTTGACTCTCGAGTGCGAGTGACCCAGATCATTCGCACACCCGCGCCTCTCCCAAGCCCTCCCTTCACTGTACCGATGAAAAAACGCTTAAAAATAGCGCGGTCGATCTTGTCGAAGATGTTCGGTTTGGGTGAGAATACAACGCGATGACCAGTCGACAATCAAGTACAGGTACATTCTACCGTAGGCTACACACCTTGTGTCACTGCGGTGAAAACCTGCCCCGCAGGCACACCAACCATTGCGTGTCATCAATGTAGGTGCGTTGTATTCGTTTAACAATCGACCAACTCACATTAGAACAGCGTGTCACAGAACGCCATGTCCGGTTCTATTTGGGGGCGGGCACTCGTCCACATCTACGGTTGCAATTTTTGTACTTCACGTCACACAGCCAAGTAGCGCTCCTCTTGTTTTTGCTCTATTCCTAGACCTGACTCCCATAACTACCATCATTTCTGCGCCCGAAAAAGGATCTCTCGTCCCAGAAGGCAAGAAGGCATGGCCTATTAGTCGACTCCAACCGAGGACCCAACGTCTGTATTTTCTTCGGCGGACGAACTCTTCTTTAAGCAATCGTGTTCGATCAAAGGCTCCGTCCTTTCCTCATTTACTTCACGTGTAAAAGCGAAGGTGTACGGTAAAGTCAATCGACGGATTACCTTTAGAATCGGGTCCTCCTTAATACTCTCCATCAACACAATATACCCTCAACTGGGAACCCATTAGGGCCGGGAGGTGTCACAGACTCATTGTTGATCGACTCCAAGAGCTGATCTCAGGCCTGACTCATGGAAAAATGTCCATATCAGGAGAAAAATGTGCACAACCGGATAGTCGAACCAGTGTCCTCAACGATGCCAATGCGAAGGTGTACAGCTTAATGAAGAAGTCGATCAAAGGATACCTTGGGAGTCGGGTCCTACTTGGCACAAGTCAACTTGATATTGTCGTTGTCCAAGACCTTGTAAAATGTACAAGAATCCGGCAGATCTTCCCCTCATCGATCTTCAGCACAGCCGGCCCAAGCTCGGGTGAAATTGTCTGCCTATTTTATCGTGTGCCGTCTTAGCATTCCCTACCCTGCCCTACTCTACCCTGTCGTATCCCACCGTACCAGGCCCCCTCAAAGGCGAGCCACCTGTCCAGCCGCATCAACGAGGAGATCAAGAGGGTGGCGGCCGTAATGGGCAGTATCTGCATCCTCGGCGCGATGCTGACGACCCTCTGGAACGCTCAGGTGGAACACCATTCCGGTCTTTGGAACGATCGGTTGATGGCAAGGGACTAAGGCTGAGAGGGCGGTGGTTCCTACTGAGCCGTAGCAAGTGGTTGTCCTCAAGAACTGGAAGATGTTCTACACATCGTATGCATGCAAGTTTCCAAGGGTTCAAACGACGGTGAAGTGAGCACTTTAAAGTGTCTACGAACACAATCAGCACGCTGGTTTGGAATAGAGTTTGTGATCAGCGATAGCAGGGAGGGACAGTGGAAGACATGGTTTCTCAAGGTCTGGAGGCTATTTGTGCGGAGTATAACACAACATAGAGGCAAAGTGGGCTCGCAAAAAGGGGTTTGACAACATGTTGAGTCGCACCAGGGAGCACGGACCCGCAGACTCACCACACTCGTCAGGTGTCAAGTGCGCAGTCGTATGCATGTCGCCAAGAGTCATTTCTGCTACGGCAGACGGCGACGCTTCGCCTACTGCGGAACACGGAATAACATCTCATTAACTGAGTGCTTTGAACTTCGCGCTTCTTCGTTTCTTTCTTCACGTACTTCCGCAGTACCAGACCTCGAAGCCATACCTGCGGTTCGAAAGCGCGAGCGACAGCCTCGCGGGCATGTTCTTCACCCAGTTCCTCTACAACGCCCTCCTGCTCAACTCCTTCATCCCAATCTCGCTATACGTCTCCATGAACTTCGTCCGGTTCCTGCAAAGCTGGTTTATGAACCAGGTGGGTTGAGAGGAACGGGGGTGGCAGGTCACACACACATGATGTGGGAAGTTGCCAATATTTGTCGAGATCTTCGTTGCACGCGTGCCTATTGCAAGCTTGGCTCACGACCCAAGCATCAATATAAAGGGAGGGGTGTAAGAGGAAGGATTGACTTCATAGAGGACATTGGGATGGAAGGTGAGAACATAGGATACACAACGTGTCCAAGTACGAAGATTTTCCCCATTCTTTCCAAACAGCCTGCGGTATGTGCGTACTTAGGAACAATTTTGGAATGTATGCCTACGGGCCTGAAACGTTGATGTTCGTTCTCGGGCGTTAGACAGACAAACTGACATGCCTGGGGTTTCTAGTCCCTCCTACAACACGACCGACCCCAAACTTTAACCCTAACCCATAACCCCAACCCCAACTATTGGTGGGAGATCAGTTGGTGCGCACTTGACAGGTGCTACGTCGCCGATTTTCATACTCTCGCTTGCATGCGCGCTGGGAAGCTGAGCCTGGGCTGGCAAAGATTTTTTGAAACTCTCACGCGTCATCCCTTCTTCGCCGAGCCTGGTTCTCTAGAAAGTCTCTCTCGACAGCCCCCGCCCCATTTGCGAGCTTTGAATGCCCGCTTTCCATTTGTCCCTCTTCCCGACTTACGGCCGCCGTTACCGATAGGATCTCGACATGTACCACGCCGATTCCGACACACCGGCCAGGGTGCGGACCATGAATCTAAATGAAGACCTTGGACAGGTAGGCAAGAACCAATGCTTTGTAGTGATGGCGGCAAGGGCGTGATGGAATTGATAGTGGTGGCGCTTTGATAGCTTTTGACGCACACAGTGATTGTGCGCAAGCCAAGTATTTACCCTTGGCTTCGCTGCCGCCTGGTCTGCGAAGATGTTGACGTTTCGGCGGTCTGCCCGGGCTGAACCCTAATGCCAGCAGTGCTGAGCATAGTGGATCGATCTTCGCTTGAGGGAGCATGATACATAGGTACAAATGGTGGGTGATTTGCGGTCGGCAGACCGTTTTTATTTAGCTCCGTGGCACCATGGCAGCACATCGATTCGTTCTCGCGAGGGGAAGGAGGCCTCTGTCACAATTGGCACTATATATGGAGAGGCATATCCCACGTGTCTCTGAAGTACCGCAAAAAGGTGCCGAGATAGTAACCGCGAAACTCGTGTTGTGACCGTTCTCCACGCGACCCCGGCTAGCGCGTTCATAAGATGAGCCGGAATACTTAAAGAGCTATGCCCAGAACTAACTAGAATAGATGACACACATACCTTATCTGAGGAGCTATTGTTTGTCCCGGCGGGGAAGAGAGTGCTGACCGTTGTGTTCTGGATGAAAGAGCCAAAGAGCTTTCTTTTCAAGTGAGAAACAAGAGCAACACCTTTAAAGTTTCAGATGTTTAACATTTGCGGCGATGTGCGCCATCTCCAGGTGTCTCATATCTTTAGCGACAAAACCGGTACCCTGACGTGCAACATCATGGACTTCAGGAAGTTCAGCGTCGGTGGGGTCTCGTACGGCTTGGTGAGCACTGAATACACAGAGCTGTGAGATCACGGTCTCATCGATGTGTTCTTCATGAAGTATGTTTGTTCCACTGATCACTGCACTGTATGGTCATGTGCGTGGCTGCCTGTGGGTGTTTGTCGGGGAAGTTGTGGCTGTAGATGGATCCTTCATATCGCCGGAGGGTGTAGCCGACAAGGTATGGTATCCAAGTCCATCATTAGGGTCGCAAAGGGGGCAGTTTGATGGTAATTCCTTGAAAATCTGCGAATGCTCACGATTCCTACGGACACAACGGGCCGGCGCACTTGGCAAGCACGTTAGCATAAATCAAGGCATGATCGACGCAATCCCTCGGAAAGCTTTCCCGGGGTGCTTTCAAGTGCAGAGGGCCGTTGGTCGCGAGGGGATTCCATCACACCTGACGCGCCCACGTTTCCAACGTGCATGTTCGACCAAGCTCCGCCGCCACGATCCACGGGCCCTTTCTTTGCTCCTAAGGGAATCACTGAGGTCGGGCGCGCCGCGATGTTGGTGGAAGGCAAGAAGGTTCCCGCGGACGTACTGTTGGCCGAAGAAAAGGCCAAGGATCACGCGGTGCCGCATGTAAACTTCTACGACCCGTCTGTCTACCAGGTGCAGGTTTATTGCTTTTGAAGCTGCTTGGGTTGGTTTTCCGGGCGTTTCCGCAGACCCGCAGTTCGAAGCGTGGCACCATATTTTCTTGAGAGAATAAGAACACTATCCCCAACGAGTACTTTATCCAGAAGAACAACCTGACGTGCATACATTCATGTTTCACCTGAGCAGCGTACAGCAGAAAATCTCTAATGGGGTACTACTACAGAACGAGGCAGTATGTCACTCCCATGTGCCTCGATACGACGGCACACATTTTTCCTCAGGGGGGCATCGCCGTGGAAGGGATGTAGGCGGCGTTTCGCAAGGAATCTCCTCGTGAAGCTGTGTCGCGCTTCAGGCTTCGTCCGGATTGCATGGCCCTTGATGCTCCAGTCTGACCAACACGCTAAATCGTTATGTCATGAACGTTACGCGGCCTGAACATCCGTTGTCGCAGGATCTACAGGGAAAGGGGGAACGGGGGCAGGACCAGGCCCGCAAGATCAAGGACTTCTTCACGGCACTAGCTCTATGCCACACGGTAATTCCGGAGAGGTTCGAAGACACTGACGAGGTGTGTTCAGTTTCCTCTCGTAGTTGCTCCCTGCCTCTGGCAAAAAACGACTGGCATCTTCGCTACATGTATGCAATTTCCCAAACTATTTCGCCTGGTATCAAGCCGTGAACAGAAAGCCAGGTGCGTGAATTTGCCTGTCATGCCCAAGTGTCTCCCCCTGCGGCCAGCAGACGATCGGGGAGGGGGGGGTACCAAGAATCTAGAAAAATCACGGCAATCACCAACAACAAAAGGGGTTGCCCTGCGCCCCAAACCCTCCCGACATATTCTTCAGGCTTTGCGGAATGTATTCGTGGAAAGGGTTGATGCTTTGAACAACAAACATGTGTGCCACCCCTATCGAACCAGTAACATTCATCACGACAATTGACGAACCATCCCCAATGCGACGTCACTTTCCTGTGAAAAGTTTGTTTGCAATCGACAAGCCATCACGCCCACAAGAGGATATTTGGTGGCACTGCCCAGGTGATGCTGTCTGCCTCCAGCCCCGACGACGAGGCGCTGGTGCTCGGTGCCAAGTACTTCGGATTCGAATTCGTCAATCGCATCGACAGCAGCGCCATCCTCCACACCTGGGATTTTTCCACACCACCTTCGCTACCCACATCCTCCAGAAATGGCCGCAGCGAAGGCGGCAGCATCGGACCCTCCGCGAGCGGGAGCAGCGGCCACGGCGGCAGCAACGGCGGCAGCCACGGCAGCCGACGAAGCGGCAGCGGCGACAGCAGCACCCGGAATGGTAGGAACGGGTCGACGGCCACGACGGCCTCCGCGGCGGAGCAGCTTCTGGTGCAGGTGGATCCCAAGTCAGTTGCTGTCAACAGCTCGTTTCGCGAGGAAGAGGGAGGAGGAGAGGGAGAAAATGCTCCGGGGGTGACAGGAAAGCAGAGAGCATTGGGGGTAGGAGGACTAGTGGAAGGTGTAGCTGGGGGAGACCACAACGAAGGCAAGCCCCAAGTCACCCGGGTGTCCTACGAGGTGCGTGGGGATTGGTGGGTGTTGGTACGGATATCAGCTCGTCGCTTTCCCATCGGTGAGTCCGTTGGCCCCCTCCTGGGTAAATGTTTTTCCCGGCTTGTGTACGTTGCGTGGGGGGGGAAGCTTACTTGCGGTCTGCCTTTGTTCCTTGTTCCGCTTTCGGCACGATTGTCGATGTCGGCAGATTGATTCGACGGGAGTTTTCGCCGTGTTCTTGCCGTTGTCTTGTGTGTCCTTGCGATCTCCCAGGTGCTTCACGTGCTGGGTTTCACGAGCGATCGCAAACGCATGAGTGTTATCGTACGGACCGAAGACGGCACCATCAAGATAATCTGCAAGGGGGCCGACACCACCATGCTGACTAGGCTGCGCACCGACTTGCCAGGGGCTAAAAAGGTACCACATTCGTTTCCCGGTGCAAGAACGACCTAGAAGGAAACTACAGATGCAGCCGAGGATATTACTTGTCGACCTCGATCGTTTCAGAAATGAATGTTTTAGGGCTCTGTTCGACCTCCGCTATCGCCCACAACGAACGGATATAGATGTACTTGCTAACGCACACTCCCGTAAGGCAGCTACATGGGATTATTCACTCCATCCCCACTTCAAAATACAAATGGTCACCACGACTGTCGAACTGCACGGCCAATTCGCCCTTGCGGAAGCACTTGCCAGTACTTGGATGCTTCGGTGACGTCGACCTAACCGCCACCACATGGTAACCAAGCCGTTGATGTATTCATACCGGAAAATATCGCCATCTCAACCAGTCCATTGACGAGACGGTGAGGCACATGGACATCTATGCAAGGGAAGGCTTGAGAACCCTCGTCGTGGCGCAGGCGGAGCTTGACCCTGTGTCCTTTGCGAAGTGGGAGGAAAGCTACCAGAAGGTACCCTTGTCTGGTCGCGTTTAGGATGTTTGATGTGGGTGCTGTTCCGCAATTGTTTCCAAACCAGATGTCTTGGGGCACTCCGTACCCTGCACTAGAGTCAGCAGCCCGCACGCGTACCCTCCACACGACAGGAACGAAGAACCTCATTCACAACTCTTGAATATGTGCTTCAAACTCTGGTTCAGCGTTGTTGTAATTTCTTTCGATAGCTGGCGTACATTTCGCAATATGCGGCAGTCTTATCGCTACGATTTTGGACCAACGGAAGCTCGAGCACCCGCGGTCAACGCAAAAACCTTGAGGACGCTACGGCAACGACCGAAACATTTACTTGCACAGTTTCATTCGCAATCATGGCCAAAAGAGATGGAGCAATTCGCGTGTGTCGGCGCTGACTGCCTGCCCTACGCACCCCGTTCAGGTTTCGAACGATCTGGTTGAAATGGACAAGAGGAACATGGGAGAGCCGAACCGCATCGAAGACTGCATGGAACTCATCGAGGCCAACCTTGAGGTGAACGACGGCCTACGACAACGTACAAGACACGGGCGGGGGGAAACAATCATCGGATGGGATGAAGCGTGTCGGCGATAAGCGCAGGACGGCAAATACGAACAGAGATACTTGAACTCATCAACCAACGAGAGGGCTGACTGCCAGAACAGTACCAGGGGGGAGGGGAGCTCCATGCGTTCGAGTCCAACATCGTACAGGTCGGTGGTATTCGCGTCTCAAGTTTCGAGGGAACCGTTCATCACATCCGCGCGTCCCCCGTTCCTGTCACCCCAGATTCTCGGATCGAGCGCGATCGAAGACAAGCTTCAGGCAGGGGTTGCTGGCGCCGTTTCCGACCTCATGGCCGCAGGGATCAAGATTTGGGTCTTGACGGGGGACAAGTGAGAAGCGTGTGTGTGTGTGTGGGCCACCGACGTTCCCTACAAAGTGCCGTTTCGTTGCAGTGCACAGGGCGAAAACAGGTGCTTGAGGGCAGCACCTCCATTTTACGCGACACAGACGGAATCGCCGGAGCCGTCACTATCCTCACAGCTGCGGTCAAGGAACACATGGTGCATGTGTTATTGAGAGAAAATCGCCGAATAGGTGAACCGACCGAGTCGTTCGCGAAGCCTTACCCAATAGTGACTTGACCGCGTTTCCGTCAGGGAGGAGACAGCCATCAACATTGCGGTGGCGTGCCAGCTGCTGTGGACTGAGGCGAGGATGCACCGCACTGTCATCAAGCTGAAGGGAACGGGGAAATCGGAGACGGAAGAGATTAAGGAGGCTCTGGAAGGTCAGTCGGCAGCCAGTCATTGGCGTCGACAAACTCGTATCGATAACGATTGAGAGGAATATACATTCGAAAACTTTGAGCTGTTATCACAATCAGTTTAGTAGAGAAGGCGAGCACGTCTTAACACAGGGTGCTGACTATTGCCTTGAAATGTTTCTGACAAGACAAGTTATTTCCTATCGCTAACTCTACGTACCAGAACATCTAAATTCCGTTCACGCCTCAGACTGTGCTGGTAAGTATAACGCCACGTATGACAACCTTACAAACGCTAAACAACATGCGATCATGCGATGCCTCCCCCTCCCCTTGGGAAGGCTACATTTCAAGTCGTCGGAGGTCGACTCTAACCTCAACTCTATTAATCGTCCGTAGAATGAAGCTCGCGTTCTACTACATGTAGATCACCATCTCACGCTGCTTCGCGCTCGGCGATACGTGGGCAGGGCCAATGTAAGCTAGATATATTTTGTCCTGGCATCACATGATTGCCAGACCTCCTGCCAGAGTTAAAGAATGCGGAATACAGCTGGTCATGAATACACCGCTGTCCTCCGCCTCCATCTTTTCCGCAGACTTCTTGTCGATGTACATTGAGGAAAGGAGTCGGTTCGAGGCAGACGATACTGGCAAGGTCGCGCCGCCACTCCCTCGTGGGCTGATCATCGATGGACCTGCCCTCCTCGAGGCGATGCAGACACCCGATTCCCAGGGGGCGTTATTGCGGGCGGCTCAGGTGCAAAGCCCTCCTCAACACGAACACAGCGTTGAACCACCACCAACAACTGCAACGGCAAAGAATTTGATCCCGTACCTACTGTTCGCAACCATGTCTACGCATCGGAAGATAGCCGTACAGTTCTATCAAGTGGGTCGTTTTTTTGGGGTGGTTTGAAAAAAAAAGAAGCGTTGCCCATCGAAAAAAAAGAAAAAAAAAACACCACTGTAAAGCTCTCGCAAGGGGCGTTCGAATGAGCCATAGTTTTTCGCGGGGTTCGCGCTGCGAGAAAAGTTATGGCCCTATTACCATCGCTGTGAAGTATACTTCACGCCACTAAAACCCACATATCTCAGCAACCACGCCGAACCCCGCGCAAATTTTTGCAGCTATCGAAAGCTCTCGTCCACGCCTTTTTTTTCGCGGTGGAACCATTCCCCGAACCGGCGGGCAAAGTCCCGCAAAAATTCAGAACCTCATATTCAAATTTTTGCGGACACAACGGCCGACACAACAAGCCCCAGGTTGCACAAACAAAAACGTGTACCACGCAAGGTTATGTCGTCCACGTTCAGCGATGAGAACGTAACCAAGAGCTATGCGGTGGAAGACGACCGTCTGAATCTAGATATTGTGCAGAAGTACTGCAGGAAGGTGGCCAACTTCCACTCGGTGTACGCCGATAAGCATACGGGCCCCGACGCAGTGCAGAGGCGGAGAGAGTACAGGTCGCACCGCAAGCCGGCGCCGTCTGAGTTTATTAACCCTGCGTACGTAGACAGACGTGCGTCTATGCAAGAAAGGACTGCTGTTGTGGGGGCGTTTGCGAATACATATACTGTTCGTGCAAGTAGTTTCGTTTGCTGTCGTTGGTTTGGCGTGATACACGGTTCGTGTAAGTTTCGTATTTTTCGAGTGCATTTGTGCTTGGTGTATGTATAACAACATATTCGCCTGATTGAGAGCGTAGCATCTGATTGAGAGCGAGATTGCGCGATACGCTGTAGCCGGACTACCACTGAGAGGTGGAGCTTGCTGTGTAGCTTGAATTGAAGGGCTAGCCCGTAGCTTCAAGCCGCTACCCTGGTCATCCTGTGGGAGTCTCTCGTTGTGGAGCTACAGCGGGGAGCAGAAGCTACAGCAGAGCCCACCGCCCGACGCGATACCGCCCTGAAACAGTTTGAGCAGAAATAGCCAATCTGGGCAAATCTAGCAACTTGTCTAGCTCCTCGCTGCAGCATCCGATGACGATGACACGCATATGCTCGCGAAGCTGCTGATGAGACCTTCAATTTGCACCGCTTCTTGGAATAGCCCGTCCCCTACTTGCCAAGAAATGGCAAGAGGCGTCTGGACCCGAAATTTCAATTTTTTTGGCTCTCGCTCTCAATCAGATACTTCGCTCTCAATCAGGCGAATATGTTGTTGTATGTAGTTTTAACCGGATACGTACGTATGTATTTAACAAAAAACACTGCATTTTTCAAGCGTGGCACAAAGCGTGACGTTCACGGCTCAAGCGTGGCGAGTCCTGATCGATCTAAGCACGAAGAGGACGAAGAATGAAGAATCGCTGCTAACGGTGGCGTCCTCACGCCGAAGAAGTGGATCGACTTTCCCGACCCCCCCTACACAAACACGTCGTCATATATCTGTCAGGAGAGCTCAAAACAAAAATCGAGTATTCTACGCTTCTTAACAGGGCATATCCCGCGTTAGAACACCTCGCTATTTTTTCTTTCGGTACATGGAGTCCGTCGTGGCTGAAATGCCAGATTTGAAATTCCATCCCCCCCCAAAAAAAAACCCTGAAAATCCTATATGAAAACCACGAATTTTCAGAAAGGCCTCAAATCGATTTGGTCCTCGAACAACTATTGTGGGGATCATTATGTACATCACTGTTTCGAAAACGATTTTTTTTTTTTAATATTGATGAAGTGATGGCCGGTCAAAGATATGACGTCACACACTTGATAGAACTGTATGGTTGGCTGCTTTCACGCCATTGCAAGACTCCTTTCACCCCAGTGATGGATGGATGGATGTTGATATGTGAATATTTTATTCATCCAGCATCAAACCGTAACAAGGAAAAGCCCCATTTTTCACAAAATTTCTCACTACACTTACGTCGCAGAAGGAGCGCTTTGTCCCAGCGGTACCGGAACGGCCTTGGCACCGGTTCAACCAGGCCGTAGTTTCGCTTCCAAGTTCCCGGTTTTTCACCGAACTGGATATCGATTGTGACTCCGACAACGTTTGGAACCTTGGAAAATTTGAAAGGGTCCAAAACAATCCTTTGGGAGACGTAAGGATGTTTGTTACGTCTCACTCTGCTCGGCACCATCCATTGCGGCTGACGGCTGCGATATGTTCGTGATTAGGCTGAGTCTCATCAAGTCCATGTTTCGTTGCTATTCGATCCAACGTCAGACTTGCCACAGCGTCATTGGGTGCCGGCTTTCGCCGGATCAAAAACGAGCCCTTGTGGCTCTCGTTCGTGAGAACGTCCCGGGAACTCGAACGCTCTCCATAGGTGAGCTTACTTTCGCCGTTGTCGTTTTCGTTGTGGTTGTTACTGCTGCATTGTCATCATGCGTCGTGTATGGTTATGAGATGCATTCTGCGACAGGATACAAGTGTGGCAATAGTCATCAAGACTATCTCAATCAAAAGCACCGGCACAGTCTTGGTATCCACTCTCAAACGTCGCCACACCGATCCTGAGCATGTGATCATGAATGTCGGAATTTCCCGACTCCATTCCGCGCCCCAGGGAATGAAGCACTCCCTGCCGTGCCCCGAAGTACATCAAACTAAAAAAAAAATCGAACGATGCAGACTTGAATTTGCCGCGGAACATGCATGTAAACCCTAGAGGGTGCTCGTTGGAGAGAGAGCCTCATCAGCAGATCCCGCCCACGTTCTCTGGTGAACGTGTCTCTCCAAGTATGGCGCCCACACCTTGTTGCCGAGGACCAAGGCGAAGTGCTATTGTTGAAGTTATGAAAGAACTGCAACACCTGCGGTGCTCACCTGTACAGCGCGGGTGGACTCCGCTATTACGTGACGCGATGTGCACCCTGACCACCCCCATTCTTGTGAGACACACAAGAAAGTATACAATAGACTACTTGGCAACTGTACCCGTCGTGTAACCGTAGCTCTGGTTCGTATTCGTTTTGGTGGCCTTTTCTCCAGGGGATGGGGCAAACGACGTGCCCATGATTCAGAGGGCTCACATCGGCGTGGGCATCAGTGGACAAGAGGGAATGCAGGTGATACAGTTCCTACGAGATGGTGCCACTGGCAAAACTCTCGACTTCACGCACGTGATACAGACAGGCGGTAGACTAGTCATGACACCAAATAACCCGCACCGAACTACTATCGTCTTATTTCCTGGTACTTCCACCGTCGTCATTGATGACTGGGCTTGACGATCGCCCTAGAACAAACTCGGGACTCATCGCATTCGTTTAGCAATTTTAGGTTCAACAATGCTTTGGTGTTCGCCCCACCCACTAGTTCATAGCCTCGCGCGCAATTTTGGGTACGCGAAGGGTGTGAGTTCGGATCTCAGCGCTCGAGTTGGGACTTGTTCCTTTTATTTGCTCAACATTCGTGCTGTCAACAATTTTGTTTGTCGTTCACAAGGTTCGACTTCACGGTCGACGAGTACGACGCACAAAATGATTTGTTCGTCCTTCTCGATGTAAAACGTAAAGTACCACATGGAATCGTGCATGGAGCATGAACTGCTATCCTCCTTCTGTCTGACCCCGGCTGATGCGTGTTCTAAAACGAAACTGAACGGTGTCCAAATCGACGTACACAACATTGCATAACAAATTACGAGAACAATCCATGTGACAAGTTCCTGCCATCATGAAATCTGGGCACTACAGCACATTCGATCATGGGTGGCTCGCGAGGTGTGGTGTCTCCCGCGCACAAACCATGCATCCATGCGTGCGGCCTTCTTTCTGGACATGTTTTCATGCACAGGCCGTGAACTCCTCAGACTACGCCATTGCGCAGTTCGCCTACCTGAGAAAGCTACTCCTGGTGCACGGCCGGTGGGCGGGAGAACATTGTGTCTGTCTGCGGTCGGCTTTGCTTGTCTCGCAATTTGTTTGTGTTCGCAGTCTGAAAAATCGTTTCCTCTTGTTCCACCTTTCCAAAGACGATGTTGACACCAACCAAGTCGGTTCCGAGAAAGCGTACCGTGATGCTGGGAGTACGCTTAGTCAATCCTAGCGAAACATGCATGCTTTGCAATATGTTCATGTGGTGACCCTTTCCAGCTGCAAGAAAGACGTTCATTGCAACCTGTTATGAACACTATCGTTTGATTGCGTAGCGATACCAATGTCTACTACTGTTCTAGACTACTGCTGTTGGCCCAGAATATTGCAGTCGTCATTTTTGCCTTGTGCTCTCCGGGGTACGTTCACGTCGATCCGATGTATGACACAGGTGGAACTATCGGCGTTCCAGCCGCGTTGTGTGCTACCTCTTCTACAAGTCGGTCATGTTCGCGTGTCCCCTCATCTTTTACGCGTACACCAACGGTTTCAGGTGATCAAAAAAAAGTATTTTCTCGGGAGGAGACGTGGTGCATAAAGCGCAAAGACTGGATGATACGTATCAGACTTGGGATGGATAGACCAAGAGTACGCACGTGTCAAACATCACTAGTTCGAGTTATTGGTACATGCAGAGAACGAGGAAGCGGGATCCGGAGACATACCGCTCACGAGAATTTTGTCCTAAACTGCAACAGTACTACCAGCAATGCATCGAGAGGACAACACCTTTATGTCCTCTCCGTTCCGACACCATGCTGTTCCACGATTGAGTGACCCGCTTACCGACGTGTAGATGTACAACCCTGCAAAGTGCAGATGGGGCAAAGCAATATGTCCCAACTCGACACCGGAAACATTGAAATAGTCTATTTGTTTGCTTGTTGCTTTCGCGGTCTGTTCGGTTTCGTTCACTTGGTAAGTGGGACGTTGTTTTACGACTACGTGACCTGCAACATGTACGCGATCGTGTTCACCGCCCTGCCCATCCTACTGTTCGGCACCTACGACCGAGACATCTCCGCTGAGACCTGCCTAAGGTAAACGAGTGACAACGTTACCAATCGGAGGCGCTTGAGTTGTTGTTGCTGGTGGTACAAACCTAAGCTGTGGATGGTTAGGGGCCGTGGGCTCAATCCGGGGTGTGGCAATGATACAAAGAGCCGACGTGTCTGCTGACAAGGGAAACCATGGTTTTTGCCGTCATATTCAACCGGGTGATCTACGGGGGAGTATTGCTGTCGGACGCCGAACTGCAGTTCCTTGGCTGTAGTCAAGAAGGGGAAGACCATGCGGCGGGCACCTCCTTATTCCCAATATCACTTTCAAGCCGCCGTAGTCCAAGGCGTCGCTGGTCAATGACGCGGGGGGGAACTAGTTATAGTCCACACACCTGGCACCGAATAGGTGCGGTAACTTCCTCTAGCTGGGCTGGTTCGTGTGGAACTCATCTCACCTGTCCACATGGCATGGGCACGCCGCCGTCTTTCCTCGAGCATCATTATTACGGGCCCCGGGAACCACGTGTCACCTACATTGCGCACAACATTACCCACTTTAAGTGAGTCGATTTTCAACACCATAAACTGTGTCAAGTCACTTTCATTTGTTTCATCCTGCGTCGAACGCAGGTACCCCCAACTGTACGCCTACGGCATCACGGATCGCTGCATGAGGCCGATGATCTTCTGGGCTTGGATGTTGCAGGCAAGAGTCGGCATCAGAGATACTTCGTGGATATTAGTGGTTGTCCAGTTTGTAAAGAAAGCGGTCCACCCACTAGATTACTTAGTCGCGCGACTAAGTAGTCTAGTGGGTAGACCGCTTTCTTTACAAAAGATATGCTGTGTGGGTTCACCGGCAGGGATCTCCGAGGTCTTGCACCCCTCGCCGCGCACTCCTGAAGTCCTAGGCCTGACCAAGACTCTCTCTCAAACGAAACGCTCCTGCCGGGATTCGAACCCACGACATAGCCTTGCGACTCAGTAGTCTAGTGGGTGGGGTAGACCGCTTTCTTTTCACATTTTGTGTTCTTCCAGTGGTCTCTCGCGCGGCATGCTGTTTGGGACTTCAATACATCCTGATGACGAACACTACGGTGAAAGGGCTCTCCATACCAATCCGCAGGAACAATATCAGATACGCGACTACAGTAGTTCACATATACAAACCTAGTTTAGCAATCTCTAGGCAGCATCCTAATTTCTTGTCGTCGGAGATTGGCCATGTTATATTCCGTAGCCGGGCGACGCTCACGTCATACATGCACTGTATCGATCGGATGAGACCTCCCACCCCGGTCTCTTGTCAATGTCATCAGCAAACCATTTTCGGGAGAGAGAGCGCACCTCAGACACCGCTCGATCAGGTATCTGATCGGCGAACTCCCGACGTGCTTTTCCCAGGCGGGTAGGGATATGAGGTTTGCTCGTTGTCAGAATTTCTGTAGCAGATTCTGTACCATTATCAATACCCGTCTCGGGTCGCTCATCCCCTTCCCTCCTCCGAAACCACCGTCTGCCCCCCCCTACGGTGTCGTCCTATTCAGGCTGTTCTCGAGAGCGCCTTCCTTACCATTGCCCCCGTACTCCTCCTGAGCGGGGACACGAGAGAGATGGGCGTCGTCACGTCCACCTACGACTACGGCACGCTGACGTTCTCACTCGTCGTGATTCAAGTTACCCTCAAAGTGCGTCCTTGCCCGCGTTTGTACGATGAGCCGAATACACCTCTAGTGCAAGTCGGTTGCGTTCAGGCGACCAGGAACTACTTGGGTCAACTCGGTCTTGTGTTTCGTGTCGTCTACACAAGACAGACTATCGCCCCGTCCCTACCTCTACCTCTAATCTTGCATACGCGATACCAGCCCCACCCTTCATCCGTTTACGATTGTTTCTCAATCGTAGAGCAGTCTTAGAACACGGATTTGTTCTTGCACTGTATCTCTCCATTGCGGTTGGTGCGGCAACGTTGCCATATGGCCCGATGGACTTCTGATTCACGGGTTTCACCCTGTTTGTGGACAGTAGGCGTTCAACACAATATTCTTGAGTCTTTTTTTCAGGTATCGAAGGCATCGTTGTCCCAAAGCTGGATGTCCATCGGAGAAACTGCCTTTCTCCTCGAATAACCTGGCCTGATCTCAAACCCAGCTTCCATCGCGAGAAACAAAAAACCCACTCCGTCACAATTGATACACACGATTGGAAAAAAAATCGAACAAAATGGCTGACAAGCACCCGCGTCGATCGGTTTCATGATCATCCCATTGTGTGAATTCCTTCGACCAAGATGTTCTGGGTGCAATACCGGTGGACCCGCATCCACGTGCTGGTCGTGGCAATTTCCATCTGCGCCTTCTTTTTATCTTCCTTCTTGGTGAGTGAATACGAGGGGCCGTCTACGATTGGCGAGCCGGTACGGTGCCGGTCGAGTTTTACTCGGGTGGTCTCTACCCTTTGCTCGTTGGTGGCATTGAGTTAGCCGTGAAAGTTCTAGTTACACCGCCTGTTGACAACGTTTGATTGATCTGATCCCTTGTTGGTCTTTCCACCCGTTCGCACGATAGGGTTACACGTGGAGCTCCATATCCGATTGACAAAGAAAATAATGATGGAAATGCGTGGGTATTCGGGGTCCTCATGAGCTTCTCGTTGATTTGTCGTGTTGCCTATCTTTTGGAGGGAGAAGTTGGCTTATGACCGCGGAAGGTGTTCGGGTCAGTTGAGTCCGTCCGGATGTTAGCAAGTGGTACTGACGGACCGGTTTTCCAGGTGAAATAACAACATTGTCTCCCGAGTTTTCTCACTGGGCCAGCATCCTTGTCACCGTAGACGGCCCCCGTCTCGCTCCCCGTCGAACTCACGCCGTATCCCTCTCTCTCAACAACAAGTAGGAGATGAGCCCTCGCGACAGACAATGTTGTTGCTGATTGCTTCGCTAGACACCACCCACGCGCGAGCTGAGGGCGTACGCTAGCAACAAGCAGAGCCAACCTCAGCCCGTGACAGACTGAAGACGATCCCTCAAGAACCTGTATTTGGCGTCAGCCAACCCCTACCTTCAAAGCGTGCCGCAAAACATTCTGCAAAATAAACCACTCCATTTCACCGGGAATCTGAAGTTAGAAAAGTGTTGACGCCCGCGAAGCAGGGCTGGCCTCTCGACGTCGTTGGCGAGTTATACTGCCTGGGATATACCCTGACGCTCCCGCCCATTCGCTCCTCTCGCCGGCCTTGTCGTCCGCTCCTGTGCCCCGTTTTGAGTCGGCAGGTCAACGCTTGGGTGCCAATAAACTGGGACTACCACGGGGTGTTATATGCCTTGTTCCAGAGCAAACCTTATTGGGCTGTCATGATCTGGTGTCTCGTGGTTGTTGTGGGAAGGTACGAGAGCGTCGAGGGCGGAAGGTGTTTCACTCCCCCGGAACCGTTCGATGAAGGTTTCCGAGAAGCATTTAGGCGAAGTGTTTGAGTATTGTCTACGCTTCGCCTCTTCTCTGGGACCCTCATGCGTACGCAAGCTTGAAATATGTTGTCCCCATGCTATGTTCAACCTCAGCTTTGGTGAGTGGATAGTAGCCCGGGGCTTCATGGCCGTGGTGGCACGGTGGCAACCAAGGAGCCAGACACCTTCAGGCGACCGGTCGTCCCTCAAGTTTCTTACCTTGGTGCCGGACTGTGGCGGGCAGCAGAACGCACGCATTACCCGAGTTCCCTCCGTGTACGCTGGTCGGAGCAAGCACCACCGATGCGGTCTAGGTTGGTCTTGAACGGACACTTGACGTCCGCCGGTGTTTTGAAGAACACCGCCACCCTCCATAATCGCCACCGCCATCTCCCGTGCTTGCGTGCTTGCGTGCATGCCTGCATGTGTCATTATGTTTCTCTCGCCGAACCCCTCTTGCCAGAGACTGGGCAAGCAAGTTCCATCATCGCTGGTGGCGTCCTCGCTTGCACCACCTCATGCTCGAGTCGGACAAGCGTGTAATGAACGAGCGCGAAAAGGCCGTGCCAGAGCAGAGCAAGAGCAATAACACCGATGGACAGGGAACCTCGGCCAGCGGAGGCGGAAAAAATGGGGCACAGGGCGATTCTGAGGTTGGTGGCCAAGCCATTTTCGTACGAGTTGGAAGCAGGAGGCAGTTGTCGGGGTTAGCTCGCATCTCTTCTGTCCTTCTACTAGCATGCGCACGTCGTGCGCAGGTCTGCATTTACTCTCAGCAGCGTTCATCTTTCATTGTGGCAATCCTGAACGACCGGATTTTTCCCGAAGATTTCAACAATTCATCTGCGTGAACGGAGAAGACCTGTGATGCCAGTCCGTGGAATCTATTTGGTTTGATGCCACCAGCCTTATCATTGTTCCCTGCGCACCTCCCGACCCCCTCCCCCGAGCAGACACCGACAACCCCGTCCGAACACGCACCGTCACCGGACGCTGTCGCTAGCGGAAACGCTGCCGCCGTCGGCGGTCACGATAGTCCCGGCGACACCGGCGACGGGGATCGTCGCAGGCAATCCGCGATCTACACCAGCCTGTTCCAGCGCCACAAGCACCGCCGCAGTAACACCACCGGACAACACGAGCAGCCCGACCCACCATCGGATGAGCAAGGTCGTCGCCGCCACAGACCTGGAAGAAGCGGCTTCGGATCACTCCTTGACGACGACGTCAGCGTCCGAGTCCTTCTCGAGGAATCCTTCTCCCCAGCGGGGCATGCCGGCAGCGGCTCCGTCGCCTTTGCTCCCGTCCCTATCAACGCCCTCTCCGAAACGTTGCGAGAACGCCGGGACATCCGAAACGGCAATGCCGGCGGTGGTTTTGCGAGCCACAACTTCGCCGCGAGAAATCCTTTCAGCGTCACGATGCCATCCATCGGCGGTCGGCACGCCCGCGGTGTCAGCTCTGAGGCAGCCGACGCTAATCGCCGTGACTGTGGCGGCTGTGGATTTTCCCGAACTGTAGGACTCGGTGCCGAGGCTAGGGACAAGGGGGGCCCTGACAGAGGGGTCAAAGCGGATGGTGACGGCGACGACGAGGAGTGGGACCCGTTTTTCGGAGGAATTTCGACAGCAGGAGCAGAGGGAGTATCGAACGCCCAGGAAGACCACGACGATGACTGCGGCCCAGCCCCGCGCCGCGAAGCGTTGGTCCGAGCGAAGAGCAGGCAGCTGCTACAGGCGGGAGGGCGGGCCGGGTGCGACCCACGCGAGGCGTCCAAGCTCATGAGGAAGGCATCCTACTTCGTCGACGTGGACGAGGGGGCGCCTCGCCCTCCCTCGGCGGTCCCTGACAATCTACAGCGCCGGAGGAACAGTGAGCGCCGCGCGTCCGGAAAGTCCTCCGCTGTTCCTGTCTTCTCGTCGTCAGGCATATATCGACGCCTGAGCCGCGTCGCCGGCGTTAGTGACGCACGGCGCAGCAGCGGGGGTGGTGATCTGTGTGCTGCCGAAGGGCGTCGGCGATCGAGCATGTCCGCAGCAGTAACGACAACGACCAACGGGACGGGTCTCGCTTCGAACAAGACAACCGCCACCATCACCGACGAAAGCAGGCCACAGTTGTCACCGTTGTGCTCGTCGGGCGGATTTGCCTTCAGCTGCGACGCCAAGGCGCAGCGCGCCGAAATAGCCATGATTCTCGGCAAGCGCATCGGTCCCATGCCTAGAACGGCAGCCTCCCTCGCACCGCCAGATTCATCGACCCTGCCGCGGTCTGTCCAAGATGGTGGCGGTGGTGATGGTGGTGGTGGTGGGCTCGAGGGAGACGACAACATGTCGGGGAATCTGCCTCCGCTTCATCGCCCATCTTCTAGCGTCGGGGCCGGGCTCAACCTTGGCTCGGGGCTAGCGTCGACGACGCGGCTCTCGCAGTCGTCGCCTGACACGCCCGCCGACATCGTTGAGGAGGAAGATGGGGGGAACGACGGCGACAGCGGCGAGGAGGTCGGGGAGAAGAAGGAGGAAGGACAGAGCCGGGGTGAATGAGAAAGAGGAAACGGACCAGAGATAAGAGTAAGACACGTGGGTGTCGAAAGTAGGGAAGATAAACGGGAGCTTTGAGGCCGGTGGCTCCTGCGTAGGACGTGGTGGGAAGTTTTGGGAGCGCTGTCACTGGATCGGGCAGGTAACGGTGGGTGTGTGTCTGTCTGCACATGGCTAAGCTGCGGCGGCATGGTTTACAGAAGTGCGTGGGACGCATACGAAGGTCGTTTAGCACTAACCATACCGCATCCAGCGTCGGGTCGATATCTACACGTTTGATATACAAATGATGCGAATGGTAAAGAGAAGATTCAAATGATACCACTTGGTAGGATGTTGTTTAGCTCTGAGAATGAATCGCGAATAGGTGTAGTCTAGTTGTTATTCTCAGGCGGGTTCTGGTGTCCACAGCCCAAACTCCGCAATATGGCGCCAAATGCGTGTGGGTATATTGTGTTTGAAGCATTTTGTAAAAGAAGAACGAAGATAGCCCTTTCTCGTCATGTGTTCAGTGTCGGTTTTGGCCCGGGAAGTTGCAAAAGTAGGGGCTGTGCATATTTGGCGTAGATGCTGATTCTCCTCAAAAAGCAGTGAGGCGGGGTCGACAAGTCCCAAGAGCGAGAGAGAGAGGGAGAGAGAGAGAGAGAGGTTCGGGGTGCATGTGACATACTTGTCATACTTGAACAGGAGAACAGAACACGACTTGCACTCGACTGTGGAACGAGACACAGCTGCATCTCGCTAAGGTCGTCTTGGTGAACTTGGGCAATGTCGACCGGACATCGGACAAGGCACTACCAGCGGGTCCGCGGGCCCGTTTCACGAAGGCTGTTTCAAGCGATCGGTATACTTTGCCCCGATGCAACTGTCGAGCCCTCTTTTTCGCTTCGGTTGGTTGTTCGTAGTTATGTCAGCCACCGTTGTGGGAGGCATCGTGCAACAGGCGACAAATAAGGCGCACTGCTGTCTTGTCTGCCTTCGGATGATATAGGCGTTCCCATCAAGCGGTGTTTTGGGCTGCTTCAGAGTGCATCGGGTGCAGTCCGTCCTGCTCTATTTGACTCCTCATTGTTCATGATGAGCGTTGCATCCAAACCGTTTTATTGGTTTCTTTCGATTCGCCTTGATAAATATTTTCTGTGGCCTACGGAGGGAGACTCCCCCCGTCCCGCACGTTCCGCACAGCACGAAGCCTCCGCGGTATCCTAACGTGTCTCTGCTACGAAATACAAAATCTCCCTCCGAAAACCACCAGACAGACGTGACGAAACTGTTGCACAGTAGCAGTCTCGGGGAATTGAGCCTCCCAATGGTACGCACTACATTCAGAAAACACCCCCCATGCTATGCCTAACCTCTACTTAGTAAAGAACACCGAGAGGTGGCTCTAACTCCGAGTCACAGCAAAATCTAGAGGCCTGTCCTACCGAGCCCTCACCCATAACGCTCTCTCCTATCCCCCACGTTCGAAATAAAAGGGGTAGACTAATGGCCGGGAGAAAACTACGACTGTTTTGTTGCTACTGTAGTCCGAACTTTCGATGTAGCTGGCTGCTGCCCTCCTTTGCCGCGTGAACCTCCAAGCGGGCTGCTTCCCTCCCATGTTCGTGTTCCTCAACACGTGGCCCTTCGGTCCAGTGGACACGGGTCTATCAAATTCTTGCTTCAGAAGCAGCAAGGCGGCAGAACGAGTACTCCTTGAGACCTTTCTCGTTTTTGGGACCCCAGAACACCGAATCAAGACATTCTGAGCCAACACGCCCTCCAGGGCGGCACAACAAGAAGAACCCAAACACACTCGTACGCCTGGGAAATGTTCCGATTATTCCGTGCACAAAAAACGACGGTACAGCTTATTCGGTCTTCAACTATGTACAACTTTGATTTGTTTTTCGTAACATCATATTAAGACTGTTTGGTTGACGGAGTTGAGCATGTGCCAGATAAAGGGGCAACTCGTTTGGTCAGTACATATATATCAGTTTCTAACGCTTGCGCCACCCTTGTGTGTGTGGAATGATAGTGAGCAATGACTGTATTTTACAAGTACATGTACAGTTTTACATCGCAACCCGTAGCTTGCCTGATGTTAGGATGACTGCCCAAACCCGACCATGTTCGTATTGGAATTACCCCCTTGGTGGTGTAGGCCCGAACATACTCCTCGTCCTCGGCACCACCATCGTTCTCTCGAGCATGCCCCTCCCCGTGAAATCTTCGGTGATATCTTGGCGAGTGGTATTCATGTGGTTGTGCGGCGAGAGGTGCTTGGTAGTAGTTTGAACCTCCGACTGGTGTGCCTGCGGCGTGCTGATGGTTTTTGATAGCTTCAGGCCTGGCGAGGTAATTCAAATCAGCAACGAACTGAGCAAGCGTCGGCAGCACCACGAGGGGTGGAAATCATGAACGGTGCCCCGTGCTGATTCTTTGCCTGATCCCTGCTCCAAATAGACGCAGCCAACTAGCAGTCGGACATTCTCTATCCATCCATCTGACGACACACACACCGATCGGGACAAGACTCGCATGACACAAATGCAGTATTCAAGTTGTCCCTCTGAATGGAGGGGGTCCAACTAGTACGTGGCACTAGAGGCGTAGACTGTACAGGATCGGATGCTGTAGCTATTTACGGCAGTGCAGGTATCCAAGCAGAGGGTCAGTACTGCTGACCCGAAGGAGGCAACCTAAGGTAGGTTCAAGCTGGCAGCCTCTCCCGTGGTCGCGCTGAACAGGAGTGATATCTACGACCAATGATAGTCTAATTAGGTCAGAAAATGCGCATGTGCTGTATTATTCGAATCACCTCCTTCCAAGCGATGTACTTAGACTCCCCGGACCTACGATCCCACGCTCTAGTGAGTGACGAGTTCGGATGCCTGTCCATGATGAGTAGAGCTCTTACGTGGTGTGCAGCATGCAACTGTCAACAACCTATCGGCTGATGGAACAGTCAGTATTTTTCACGCTTGGTACGATTTCGCGTGGGGCTCCGGCACCCGTACCCGCGCCAGCCGGCGCCGTCATAAGTCGGCCCGAACGACCTAGGAACGACAAAATGAAAAGAGGCGTTATTCGTGGACAGTCCGTGTTTCGTCGTACGAATGCGCTGTGCCGTGTTGGTCGAGGGTCGAGAGATGATGGAAGAGGTAGGTCCAAACGTTCAAAAAGCCCGTCCAATTGTCCAGTGAATGCCCAGAGCGTTGTTCCATGTTGCTGGTAAACCCAAAACCGATGGAACTTTGTTGGATGGACAAGTTGTGTGTTGCTGTTAAATCAGTTGGTGAGTCATTTGGTGCCTGTACAAAATGAAAGGTCTTTGGACCACAGAGAACTAGTTGTGAGGAAACACACGAATTGTTATTCAAGCTAACCCAGTCACTCGAGGGTTAGACTAATACCGAAAATTTTTGCCCGTTGTGATGTGGCTATTAGCGTGGTCCGATTGGAAGTGGAACTTTCACTGAGCACAAATATACCTCGGAGATCGCGGGGGTCCCTTGTATCCATGGCCAAAGCTGTCGAGCCGTCCTCAAGTTGGCACGACGTCAGGTAGAGGTGACATGCTGTTTTTTTCTGCTTCACCCGATCTGTTCTGGGCGAAGTCTACACCTTTCGGAATGGTCAACGTCTGACGCATCAGCCAGGGTCACACAGCAGTGTTGTGTTTCTGTTTTTGTCGCATTTAGGCAGTCTACGCGTTTCGGTACATGTTTGACACAACGACCAAAGTCACTGTTTGACGCACCAGCCGGGATCAAAATGAATAAAGGTACGCCGGTGCGTCAAGCAGAACAGAGGGAAAAACAGCGCTGTGTGTTTCTCCGCCCTCCCCACTACGTTGGCCTCCTTCACGTTTGAACGCGAGTAGGGTCCGGCAATTCCTTCCCCTTCGTCATGTTCACTCCCGAACGAGCCAAGTTCTACCCGTTCCATGTTCGTGGTCGCAACAACAGACTTTCCGCTGTACGCCGACAACGAACTCCTGAAACAAGAAACGCACTAAAATGGCAGGAGCATCCTCGAGCGCCAGACGGACGTCCGCGATCAGCCCGGAGGTGTCCGCGCTTGATGTCGTCTCTTGTTGATTCCCGATCGGCCCCCACGGGGGAAGAAAAAACAAAAATCAAGAATCCCTTGCTCGCACGGAGTTGCGCTGCTTCTGCCCAAAGTGGACAAGGGGGAGGATGTACTGCAGGCCAAGCGTGGAAACACCGGAATAAAAATTCCTGCCCTCTACTCCGCAAACATTTCTGGAAGATATCTGCTAGGAAATAATTATGTTTCTTCCACCGGCGAAACCGCTCCAAAACCAAACACAAGAAGTGCACCGAGGATGTACGAGCCCGCTACAACTGCGACAAGCGCGCCTATGCAAATTACCCGCCCTTCCTGCATGGAGACCGAAACCAAATACAACCGGACACATGCGGATGAGCTTCCGAATGACGAAGCATCGTTTTTCGATACAGCGGACGCCAACATATTTGTTGGCGTTAGCCTGAGCGACAACACCTAGGCCACGCAAAACAGCGGCCAGAGTAGTTACTCCACGCTTTTTGTTGCTGAACCCCCCAACAAAAGCAGTGTTTTTACGAAACCTCCACCCCAAACACCTGTACCGACATCGTCCTGTAGAGTTGGCTTTTCGTAGAGGGAGTCGACCTCAGCAACGTAAGCCACAACATGGTACGACCGGTTTACGCGCTTGCCGCCTGGAGCTCAACGTCAATCCCGACCTGGTGCGCAAATAACATGGACAAAATACACGCAGAAAAGTGACGCCATCAGCGAAAGCAATTGCGGCCGGAGGTGGATGAGGGCGGGTTCACCTGCCTACCACGTACGACGAGGGCACATCTAGCATGCTGCTACTCAGCTAAATGGAGGCAAGGGCGGGGTAGGTGTATGCGGTGGTACGTGTAAAACACGATTAATCCTAAAATCGTAATACCAAACGGAATGACACAAAACAAACGACGTACAACCCCACAAAGAAAATC